GAACTATATCCTTTAAGGTACACCTCAACTTTCTTGATTAATGTTAGTTAGGTGGTGAAATGGGGATAAGCACAGACTCTAGTCTCTGTAAATAACATTGTTATCCATCTTGTGTATCTAATTTACCAATGCCGATTGTTGACATTTTGTTCTGTTTATCTTCTTGTTTGACAAACACAATAAGTTGGGTTTTTTCTGGATTCTTGGACGAGCCCGTGTCTGCATTTATAATATCAGTTGATTATATGATCCGAAATATACATTATGAATAATAAGACGAAGAATTTGACAAAAACGAAAGTGTGATTCAAAATTAGGGTGTCCCGAGCCAAAGAAGAAGGCATTCAAGCTAGACTGTTATCACTGGGTTCTATGAGCACGAGCAACTAATAAATGCCGAATTTGTCTTCGCGTTGGTAGATTAGCTAAATGCACCTACTAGTAAACTGCTCCAAGAATTCTCCAGATTTTATATTCTCAAAAAATAAATAATAACTACTTCTCAACAAAGAAATTCTGTCAAAATATCATTTGTTTTCCTGTTTAATGTGGCCTCTACTTTTTGACTCATTACTATTATTTATTTTCTGTTTTCTCTTTCCGTTTTTTTTTTTAATCGTTTCATGTATGCATCAGCATTGTTCCAGTGAAGATAGCTCCACAAGGCCCTTAATATTGGTTACAGCTTCTGTAGACAAGATGGTACTCAGGAGACCAATTCGGGTAGAAACAGATCTAACAATAGCTGGTGCTGTTACTTGGGTCGGGCGATCATCCATGGAGATTCAACTGGAAGTTACTCAGCCCTGTGAAGGTATAAATATCTTCTGGCATCAAAACCATGTTCTCCTACCAAAATTTTGCAATTTTCTTGATAAGATACATCCTTTTTCTTGCTGTTATTAAATATGACACTAAGTTGATTGTGTATTTGATTCTGGTGACTCTTTACAGATTGTCAGCTTCCATAATATTTAAATTAAACAGAAAATATACAAAATGAATTAATCAAGTGGAGACTCACACGTCTATATGACTGCATCGACATGTGTGAAAAAAATCATTTATTTTAGATGGTTTTTCTGGTTTCTCATGGCCGTTTGATTGAATATTCCATGTATTCTTGCAGATCATTGTGCTTTTTTTTTTTTTTTTTT